TGAGAGAAATTCTCGTTCCCTTGACTTAAACTTCCTGTTTCCTCTCCCCAGGACAGCTGTCCCTGAGGTGAAGCTTCTCCTTCATTCTCGGCTGAACGACACCCTTCTCTCTAAACAGTTACGCGGACACTCACCACTCCGAAAGGTCTTTACACAAATCTAGACCGCTCCCTTTCTAGGTGGTGGCTGGCATTCCAAGATAAGCTTGAAGCTTAAAAATGCTAGCTTGGTTCTATCTTAGAAGCCTACAGGCCAAGTCTAGGCGCTGTCTGACTTTGTACAGCCCATGAGCTTAAGAATGGATTTTACATGTGCATATGACGAGCAGGAGAGTGGAGGACTCAAGGAAATTATAACATCTGACAAGAAAATTCTATGAAAATCAAATACCAATATCCACAAATAAAGGTTTGCTGGAAAGCAGCTAATCTTCTTATTTACATATTTTCAGACTACAATGACAGATTGACTAGCAACAAGAAATTATACAGTTACCAACCCTAATATATGTACTATCTGTCTCTTTACAAAAAAAAACAAAATCCAATTCCTGGTCTAAGAATGTAAAGATGTTAGAGATATTAAACAAAAATATTTCAGGCAAACCGGGAAAGCAAAGGCTAGCAAGTGTATGCACAGGATCTGAGCCCTACAGTCACGACTAGGTGGCTGCCGTAAGGAGCAGAGTATAATGAACGGGGCGTGGGAGGTGAAAGGCTATAAAGCTATTCTCTGTTTGGTACACGCAGAGATCAGAAAAACAGTGTTGCTCTCTATCATTTCTCCCGTACCCAGCTCACTTTTCAGTACCGGGAAGTTGTTGAATGAAAGAAGAGGAAGACTGAAGAGAAAAAGCCGAAAGCGGATGAAACTTGAGTCGCACACTGTTGGGAATGAAAGAGCGTCCCTGTGACAACCTCCAGTTAGTCTACTCTGTATGACATACATCACGGGTTCCCAGAAGTTAGCAAAAATCCCCACTTTGGAAGCCAGCATATCCAGTGCTCAGGGTGTGCACCAGAGATTGAAAAAAAAAAATGTCTCTAAGACTCTCGTTAACTTCACTGATGCTAATTCAACCCCACCTATTGAACCCCTTCCCACCCACCCCCTCCCTCCCTCCCTCCCTCTCTGCTTGCAGGTGACGCCCACACATATCCTTCAGCGTTGGCAGAGATGCTCACTCAGATAATGACTGGAGTTCATGCTGCACATTTTCATCTTCGTGTATCACCGTCACCTTGTAAAACCACAACTATAGGAAAACAAAGCTGTTTGCTGCTCTTCTGCCTCAACTGACATTTCCACCCAGCTCACAGTTTGCCCTTTGGAGACAAAGGAGATTATCTGTCACCGAGATGCCTTTGCATAACGAAGTCTCCTTTCTACAGCTTTTTGCCCTCCTTGAGTTTGTAGCCCATCTAGTCCCTTCACAGAGTTCAAGTGGGCAAATGAAGAAAGCCCGGCCCAGCCTGTGCGAAGCAATGATCTGATCTTTGATTTGGCCCCAAGAATGAGGACAGCTCAGGAAATCTGGTATAAACTTGGACACCCCCCCCCCACACACACACACACATACACTCTAACTTTCAATGCAAGTGATTTCAAGCATTATGTCCAATGTCAACCCTGAAATGAGCAAAAGGCACTTACACGAGTGTTTCACATCCTGCTCTGGACAGAAGTCTAGAGTTTGAAGAGCCAGAAGCCCGTGAATCTTAAAACAAAACAAACAAAAACAAAAACCACACCTTCCTTTGAGCATTGCCAGATGAGGAAAAGCGTGTTCCTGAAGCACCAAGCTCCCAAGTACCACTGCCGGCATGTCCATGGAGCCTTAGTTGAGGGGAACTCACAGAGCTTAGGAGACGCACACTCCCAGCAAGTCTCTTCTGAGTTGGTCCCTGGACCATCTGTGTGCAGCTTCTTACTGTGGAGGTTAGACCTCCATTGCAATGAATCTAGAAATTTCTTTGATTTGTCTTACCTATTCATTATTTCTGCTCCAAACACAATGAGAGAAGACAACAGGTACCGCTCAAATAGGAATGTGGGTCTAGGGAGGGAGCCCAGTCAGGAAGGGACCATCTGCCCAAGCACAGGACCTGAGTTTGGATCCCAAGCATTCACATGAAGAGGCAGGCATTGTGGTGCTTGCCTGTCATTCCAGGGCTGGGAAGGTGGAGGCACGAGCTTCCAGGAGTTAAGCTGAGTTCCAGACTGAGTGAGAGTCTGTCTCAAACTGTAAAGTGCAGATCATAGAGGAAAATCTCCAACATCAACATGTATATGCGCATCCATGTGCTTTATGCACTCACACACACATGCAAGTACATGAAGATGCATACACATATTACTCTCCCCACTCTGAAAGGAAATTGATCTGGGCTGGGGATGCAGCTCAGCTGGCTGTGTACTTCCTACATGAAACCCTGGACTTCATCCCCAACAAAGGAAAAGAGTGCACTTGGGGTTGTTGATGATTGTAAATCATCATTTGTACAGTTAAGGCATGGCAGAGGGATCTGTCTGTTAACTGTACTTAACATCATTTGTACATTTGAACAGTTAAGGCGTGGCAGAGGGGTCTGTCTGGTGAGGTCATGAAATCTGTATTGTGTTCCACCTTGAAGAGGAGTGTGAAGGCACTTGAACTTTTCTTTTCTTTAACAGAAATGGGTTATACCATTTTCAGCAGTACAATAAAGACATCCTTACTGAGATTTGTGTAGTCGTTGAATTTTTCACATACACCAGTTTGGTACCTTTCCAGTTGCTCTGATTTCCCTGTTGAGACTAGCTAATTCCAGTCTTTCTTGAATAGGAGCAGGCATGGGAGCTCATCTTTTCCACGCTTTTTTACATTTAATAAGTCTCATTGCAACAAAAAGAAAGTGCATGTTTAAAGACGAATTAATTATACACTCTTTTGATTCCATGTCATCTTTAAAGTAAACCATGAGGCCAAATAGAAACAACTACATAGATTATCAGGTATCAGACAAGCTCTTCTGTCTGTGGTTCAAGGGCTTACTCCCCACACACGATTCTCTTCCTCCCCATACCGCCCCCCCTGGTGACATGTGTGTTACACACTGGTTTGGTATAAATTTTCAGCTTGCTACAAGTGTTATCCGTTTGTTGTTCTCTTGTGTTGAAGCTGTTGCAAGGCTTTCAAGCACCCAGTTATGTCATGAACGTGACAGGTGGATATATTGACATTTTCTGTCTTCTCCATTGTTCGAGATCTTTTTGGATCAGAGCCCAACAAGGCATTTGTAGACTTCATTGGGATAAAGTCACTCCATAAAAAAAAGAGTAGCAATTCAGTTGTAGGGCGAATTTTAACTACAAAAGCCATATTTTCAGAAATCATAAGCTAAAGATAGGTCTGAAGCATTGACAAAATGCTTCCCCCAGAAAGCCTGGGTTTTAAATGAAAGATCTCAGTGCCAGGCATAGGCTACAAATTATTAGTCAGGGAGACTACAGGGCTCTGTAAAGCAACACAGGCTACTGTCATTGCTCTGGGTTGCTCACCTTAACCGCATGGTAAAGCCCTGTTGCTGAAGATACAGCATGCTTTGATTGCAGAACAGAGAAATCAAGCTAGAACTGAACTGAGAACTCCTTTCCAGCTGGCTAACTTTCATAGTGCTGAGAGGTGCTTTTTAAGGCCACTGGAGTGGGGCAGGGGAGGGGATATAAATGGTCTCACCTAGAAGTGGACCCTGAAGGCCACAATGTCAACCCGCCAGATGAGATGTGCCCACAGATGCTAGACTGGCACAAAGGTTATGGGAGCAACCAGCTACTTTCTGGTTAGATTTGAGCCCTACTCCATAGGAGGGAATTGATGCCTGATACTGTAAACCTGGTCCATATAGCTCATAGGTCATAGGTCATAATAGGGAAATGATTACTGCTGTTTTTCTGAATGGATGTGTCAGACATGTCCATTCAGACACTGCCTTCTAAATATTTTTAACCCTAGATTACTGCTGCTCTCAGCTCTGGCCAAACAATGCAGAGATTCCTGGCTGGTCATATTGGTGAGAATAAGTGACTGTTGGGTCCTCGAACCCAAATCGGGAACATTCATATCAACCTTTCCCCCAAAGCTCAGGGGGTTTCACAGAAGAGGCAACTAAAAGAATGTAAGAGCCAGAGAGTGTAGAGGAGCACTGTGAAATGCTGTGTTCTAGACGTGGCGTTGATCGCGTGAACCCACAGCAGCTATGGTTACCTGCACAAGACCCGCACAAGGTCAAGCTAACAAGATTGGCAAGCATTCCAGCAAGTGGCAACTAATTGGATTCAGTGAGCTACCAAAATGAAGAGGAAGGAAAAGGGAAGACATGAAGAAGAGGGGGGGGGGTGCCCTGGGGACTGCCCAGGGCGATGTGGTGGTGAGGAGGAGGGTATGGGTGCTATCAAGACACATAATATACATACATAAAATTGCCAACAAATAAATTATTTTTATTTATTTTCTGTGTATGGATGTTTTGCCTAAATGTACGTCAGTTGCACCACGAGAGTTCCTGGTGTCCGTGGAGGCCAGAAGAGAGTATCAGATGTAGGTGCTGGGAATCAAACTCGGAGCCTCTGGAAGAGCACCCCATGCTCTTAACCACTGAGCCATCTCTCCAGCCCCATTAGCAAATAAATAAAAAGTATCCCCCCCCCAAAAAAAAACAAAATAAAATAAAACATTATCAACAATCTATTAAGAGAGAGTTTGGGAACTTTCAATAGAAAATCAACTCACTCCTAAGCGGTTTATTTAGAATAACTTTTTTAGAACGCTTCTAACTGTATTTATTTTTCAGGCTGCACAAAAATTTCTTAACTGTAAATGAACTTATATAAATTAGCTGTTCTTCCACCAGATTTCTGTGTGTATGCTTTACCTCTTGTGATAAGAAGTAGAAAACAAAGAAGTAGAAAAAAGAAGGAAGTGATTCTTAGACTTAGTTAGACTCACCATTCATTCAGAAGCCCATGTGAAGTCCGTTTATTCAGCCAATAAATACTTAGTGCACGCTAAGCATTATTCTAGGCAGTGGGGATACAGCAAAACAAAAAACAAAGCAAATGGAGTTCTTTCCCTCTGGAGAGCCAGTTTAGATTAGAAAAACAAACAATAAACCAATAAATAAGGAAAACATCTAGTATAAGAGATGGTAACGCGTCATAGCGAAAAATAAGGCAGGAAGACAGGTTGAAGGGGTAATTAACTATGGTTGAAAGTAACATTTAAGCCAATGTGTCGAGGAAGTAAGAGCAAATCAAATAGATGTCTAGGAAATAACATTCTAGACAGAGTGAATAGTATGTGTAAAGTTCCTGAGGTGGGAACAAGCTTTTGATATTTGCATAAACATACCAGTGCAAGAGAGATTTAAGCTTCAGCTGGCCTTGTAGAGGGCACAAACTCACTCACCTAAGTCCTGGAAGAATCCACACCATTGTGTTTAACCTGGGTTCGTGGTGGCTAAATGGAAGGGACTATTGTGGTTTCAGGTCCATCTCATGTAGTTGAGTTTAACATTTCCAGGTGAGACTACAAGTCCCCTGTATTCCCATAGGGCAGGACAGAGGCAGAGGTGAGGGATCAGACGTCCACCTGACCATCACTCTGCCCATGAAAACAGCCATGCAGATTAGTGGCTCAGTTAGTGGACTAAATGACTGAAGAATTAAATGACTGAAGGCTCAGTCCAGTTATAGCTGTCCCATGGCAGACATATCAGCCAGACCACATGGGTCAAGCCAGCTTGACATCTCAAAGAGGCAAAACGTTGGCCTGTTGATAAACTAATACTGAAGCCAAGCAAAGTTGTATTTCTTCCGAGAGAAACCAATGTTTGAAAATCTGGAGAGAGAGAGAAAGAGACAGAGACAAAGTCGAGGGAGGCAGGGAGACACACACATACGAGAGAGAGAGAGAGAGAGAGAGAGAGAGAGAGAGAGAGAGAGAGAGAGAGAGAGAGATACACAAAGATTTATGATATACTCTTTCAAATAGCAAACTATCTCCAGATTCGCTGCATACCCAATCCTGGGGACAATGTTACAGCACAAGTTTAAAAACAGGCACATGTTAGTGTGGTGATTTTATCACTGGATGCAGAAACAAGGTACACTGATTCTCTTTAAATTGGCACGCTCAGTCCCAAATAGGTGAGCTCACAATTAAAAATGACAGGCACACCTTCAATTCCAAGACTCTTGCAATAATAGCAGCAAATGACACAGTTTTCTTCCTGCACACTGCATCCCCCAAACGGCAAAAGCTGTCCTCTTACCCAGTGTTTTCAAACCGTTTGTTGGTTCACACCAATAGTGAAACACCTATGACTCCTGTGCTTTGGCTCTGTTCGGAGCAGTTATGAAACATCTCAGGTGTGATTCATCTCCAGTAACCCTCCTTTTCCAGTTAGAAAACAAAGTTATTGATTACCAAAGATCAAATCTTTCCATTTAAAAAAAAAAAAGTGTTTGTTATTTGCTATTGCCCTTCCTAAAAACTCTCCAGTGACGTCATTTTCAAAGACGATTGCATAACTTGAATCAAGAACTCTCCATGTCAAAAGGCTGGCTGCAATCACAAGGGCCAAGGTCAAGCCAGCAGGCTTTCAGCATACAAGTCGGGCTGATCTTGGCCTTCACCAGTTTGATCAAAGGCACAGAGTAGAAGCCAACTTAAAAAAAAAAAAAAAAAACTATCAGAGCACAACATTGTCTGTCTATAATTAAAAGATTCCTATCCCTTCCTCTTCTTCATATTAAAAAAATGTTTAAAGATATCTTTATATATAAAAACAACAATAGGGAAATGCCTTATGTTTGATTGCAAGATAAACTATTCCAATTAGCTAGAAAATTGGTGAAGCGAAAAGATCCTCATGGGTTTGGGCTTAAATGTCCGTTACAAGCTGGGCATGACTGTGTACTCCTGTAACCCCAGCACCTGGGAGGCAGAGGCAGGAGGATGGCAGCAGGTTTCATGATGCTCATTTTGCAGTTGAGTAGTCTTAGATGAACAGTGCCTTGCCTGAGGCCATTCAACTAGTGATGAGATTTTTATCAGGTCTACCTGCCTCTAAAACCTCGGAATAATTCAAAGCACTGAACAAATGGTGAAGACAGCTGTAGACATTCCTTAGGGTCCCCAGATATATTCCAGTTGACCCAAACTGGAAGCAAATTTTTAAAAGTCCATGTTCAATCCAGTATCGGGCCTTTGCAGGTTCTCTTGAGAACTATGATGTTGTCCCTAAAGACACACTCCAAAATAATTTGTCATGTCAGTGAATCCACAGGGTCCCAAGCAGCTGAGCTCACAAAATCCTGGAGTTCTGAGCCCTAGAGCATCTACAGTCCCTCTAAACTTTTGAGTCTAAAGGAACTTATGCTGGGCTCCCTAAGATACTGCCTGGAAAATAATCACCTCTTTAGTGCCCGGTGAGAGTTGCCTCATCCCCTTCCTCAGAGGAAGCTGCTTGGAACTCATCCTTGCCACCTGCTAAATGCTAACACCCCCTTTTCACAGTATCATGACTAGCTCTATATAGATGCAATTTCAGTATTCCACTTCAAACACCCACAAAGACAACAAGGAAACCAACCGTGGAAAGATGAAACTTAAATGGTTTGCCTGTAACAAGCTACTAAACAGATGATCCTTCATAGCCTTCAGATATTTTTTTCTTAATATGTAAAGTGACCTTATTTCCTCTCACATTCCTCCTGGTGTGGGAGGGATATTTAGTTCTGAGATCATGTTGTGACTATTAATAATATTGAATTCCCATGACAGGGAATAAGGGAAGTAAGCCCTGGGGTGCTTTGAGGGCATTCCATGGATGAAAGTGATTAAAAATGGTCAGAATTCATTAAAAATATGTCCACAGCTTTCTAAACTAACAGGAAAACACTAAACAGGAACTAAGAGGCTCCTTTCCTGAGTGGGCAACAGTGTTTTAATTATTTTCAAACACTTAAGTACTATACTCTGTGACTCTAACCTATTCCCACCCTAAATGCCAACTTAGCCAAAAAGAAGGCTGTTGTAGCCTTTCTACTCTATCTAAAACATCTTTAGCTGTCACACTTCAGGTGACTGAAATGTGCCGGTACGTGAGAAGGAACCGGGCTCGATACAGCCTGGAAATTGTCTTCCACGGCCGAATGAATCCTCTCACTTTTTGTTTTCTCTACTCTAACTTCTCAACCAAGTCAATAAATATACTAAGCTTAAGTCTGGGTCGAGGCATGCAGAATTTAACCTGCTGTGGAAGCTTCTCTAAATTCATTCCCGAGTCTCAAGATGATCGTGATGTTAGATCTAGTAGACGCTCGCTCCGAAACAATTAGCAAAGGTGGTCCAAGAAGAGGTCCAAAGTGGCCGGCTGACGATGAGGCTATCCTTTCCTATCCAGAGCAGTGGTGTTGAACAGGTAGAGCGGTACCAGCCGGCTGGCTTCTGGATAGGGGTCCCTGTCAGGGGCGGTAGGCTGCAAAGTCTCTCGCTGGGGCATAGGGCTGGTAATGCTTGCGGGTCGGCCCAAGTCTCCGGGGTGTCATGTTCATGTAGTCACTCTGAAGGAGTCTGTTCCTTCTGCTATTTGTCTGCAGGCGGGGGGAAAAAAAGTCAATGTCAAAGGACTTGGAGGAGATATTATGGGAGGGGTCCTAAGATGTTGGGGTTAGTTATTCAGAACATCAGCTGCCAAATGACCCTGAGAGTCAGTATTGCATAAGCGCCTTGGACTGTGATCATGACTAAGCAAAGCCTGGCTATTAGTCGACTAAAAATCGAAAGGAAGTTGTGTTGTAGAAACGGGTCCATTGCTCTCAACGTTGTCATCTAATCCAAAGCTCAAGAGCATACTTAACATATTCATCACTGAGCCGGGCGGTGGTGGCGCACGCCTTTAATCCCAGCACTTGGGAGGCAGAGCCAGGCGGATCTCTGTGAGTTCGAGGCCAGCCTGGTCTACCAAGTGAGCTCCAGGAAAGGCGCAAAGCTACACAGAGAAACCCTGTCTCGAAAAACCCAAAAAAAAAAAAAAAAAAAAAAAAAAAAAAAAAACATATTCATCACTGATATTTAAACACATCTGAAAGCCCTTCCTGTTTGGATAGGTTAAACACTCCCATTTTAATCATTCATTAAGTAAGCTGTCTTTCCATAATTAACCCCCCCCCCCCCCCAAAAAGAACCTTTCAGTTCTTTCAGGATCTGAAATAATAATTATAAATTTATGTCAGTAGAGGCCAAATGAATGAGGGTTTCTAGTTCTAGTTCTGAACACTACATTCCTATCCCCTGGGGGTATATATTTCTGCAAAGGCAAGAATGGCACCCGCCACTGTTTCCCAGGAGCAAAGAGCGAGGAATGACATTGAACCTGGAGCTTGAGATAACACTCACTTTGAATCCTGACCAAGGTTTGGACTGGGGGTTAGGAGCATCATTACCAGATCAGTGTGATGGTAAAGTTTTCATTTTGACAAAAGACTTGTAGAGTTGCCAAACGCAGAAAGCCATGTGGATTGTCTGTTATGGAATTCTATCATGGATTCTCTGCTATGAAAAACCAATGCCTATTTCTAAGCGCAGAGGCCCGATGCACTGAGTATGAGTAACAAGCTTTCCCAAACAGATAAATGAGAGAGTGACTACAGCCTTGGCCTCGTTTCTACGTGCCCCTGCCAGAGGCCTCAGGTAAGCAAAGAATGCTCTGATGCTACCCAGGCAAGCATTTTCAACACTGACACTAACTTTTAGGGTTTCCCCTGCCAGCCCCCAAATGTTAACCCTTGCTTGTGGATACTCCATTGAAACTACAGCTTAAAGAAAGGCCTCAATATGGAAGGTGTCATGGCCCTGAGGTTCCCCAAGTTACACACAAAGATAAAGAAAATCTGTTACAATCAGCTCCCATGCCTACCCCAGCACCATGATCAGCTATCAGGGCTTAGCTTGCATCAATCACCCTGACTCTAAACTAATGAGATAGAAAAGGCTGGGAAGCCAATCCAGAACCCACAGCGCTCATGTGCACCCACAATATGTATTTATGTATCCATAGTACCCACCTCCTGTGTCTGTGTATCTTTGTCACTCACGACTTCAGGGCCACTCTACCCTTCCTCCACCTCAGCCTTACCCACTTGTTTTCTAGACAAGGCAGCAGCATACAGGGCATACAGAAGCAATGTACTTAAAATGGTCAAAAATGTAGTAGATTTCAAGGCCGATGTTACCTGGACACACATTATCCACACACTGTGGTACACACTGGCAGAGAGTATGTTAAAAACAAAATAAACAAACAAAACCTTCCTCTAAGCCCAGAAAGAGAAAGCAGTTTAACAGCTCATCTGAGTGAATAGGGAATTGAGAGTGACAGGTGGCAGCCTGTGGCAGCCTGTGGCAGCCTGAGAAGCGTCTTCTTTACTCAACTGCCAACAGCAGGTCAAGCACAGAGACAGAATCTACGGTTGCTCCTAAACCCACACATCCTAGTAGCACGTGACAGGTTCTCAGGAAGCTCTGGAAAACAGCTAACTTCTACCAAGGCACACCGCTGACCAGCCAAAACTAAGATCCCAGAGAGTGGTCGAGCCCTGGGTGTCCCTAGATGCCGAGCTCACTCAGGTGCCTATTGATCAAATGACAGAGAGAGGAAAAGATGAGCCCAAGGCAAAACTGTTCTATTGCTCTGTGAGTGTAAATTATGTTTATGTGCCCCATGTGGTCAGAGACCTGGGTTTGAGGTGCAAGTAAGTGATGTTCTTATTAGAAAACCCAGTTTGACTCCCAAAAGCCACAGATGACATGACATCAAGCACTAAGACTGTCCAAGTCACAGTGACCTTGTGAGATAAGCCAGAAACAGCTCCCTCAGGGCAGAGATGACTCTTACCAGGAATTATGGGGCTGCCAATGAAAAGCTCAAAGCATCTATGATGCCTGTTTTGGAAGGTGAATTCTTTTAACTCACTGAAAGTGAGAGGCTGCTTGTGTCGTTTTGGGGTAACTCCAGTCACTCAGCAAATTAATGTCTCATTTTCGAAGCGGGCTTCCTGAAGCATATTTACCATACGTTTTAAAGTGGTTCCTGTGGGACCACTGAAAGATAAAGCAGTTTCCAAAACTACTTCCCACAAAGCTAGTAAATTCCTGTTGACCTAGGTCAACATGTAACGAGGGAGCCGCCTTTCTGGAAGGGGACCCATAGGGCCACCACACCTGGCCTTTAGATTAGGGAATTGAAGTTCTCAGAGATCTGGAAATCCACACAGCAAGCAAGAAAGCCAGTGATTGAGAATTAGAAAAATCAAGCCAAACCTAAGGTTTTGAAAATCATTGGCAACCAGTGTCGAGCTACAAGACAGCAGAAACTCATACTCTGAAGTCCAGAAGGAAGAAAGTTCTCAACTAACACCAGAGTCAGAACTTGGGCAATATGTTCCTATACCAAGCTTCCTGTCACCATAACTGGATAACTTGGATATCATAGTTGGATAACTTGTAGAAGCTAGGCAGATTTCCAAAATGATAGAAAGAATTCCCAGGAACGGGCAAACACTATGTCCCCTACTTTATAGAAGTTATAGATTAGTCAAAAGGTAGCCTGACAAATGTCCACCTGCCCTCTGTGGTCTTGTGAACTACAGGAACATGTGGGGAATAGTAGAGAGCAACTTTGGATAAGAAAATGAACAATTTAGATCTAAGAATGGATGACAGAACTTCATGACTTAAAACTAGGGTTGTCCTGTCCCCATACCAAGACTATAGTAAAAGTAAGATGGCATCACATGGCCTGACTTCCAGAAGTCCCTGACTGTACATTGCCTCGTTAAATAAATGGATTATGCCTTGAAATGGGTATCGTATTTCAAGCAGGCTTAGTTAGGTCTTTATTTGGTTTCTATGGGGATTACCTATTTAGTAACCCAATAAAAATTCATTAAATCTTAAATGTACTTAAAGCAGATGGGTGAAAATATCAAGAGAAATGGTTTTTTCCCCTTTCACACAGCATACATTTCTCATTGAATATTCACCCAACTTCTGGAAAAAATTCAGAGGCACGTGAAATCAATACATGAGCTGTTCTGTTCCTTGAGTACTAAGAAGTTTCTAAGGAAAGGGCCCTTGCTAAAATGGTCCCTTCTTAACAGTTAATGTATCCATTAAAATGTGTTCAAAAGAGGGTGGGAAGGATGACTCAGAGGTTAAGAGCACTGGCCTCTCTTCCAGAGGACCCAGGTTCAATTCCCAGCACCCACATGGTGACTCACAAATATCTGTAACTCCAATTTCAGAAAATCTGATGCCCTCTTTTGGCTTCCGTAGGCACCCGACCCACAAATGGTGCACAGACGAACAGGCAGGCAAAACACTCAAACACATAAAACATTAAACATTTGGGATGTGTTCAAAAGTCAGACATGGTGGCACACACCTATAATGCCAGCACTCGGGGGGCTGAGACAGGAGGATCACCATGAGTCAGGACCAGTCAAGATGGTATAGTAAGTTCCAGGAAAATCTGGGCCACATAGTGAGACATTGTCTCAGAAAAATCAAACAAACAAACAAACAAAAAAATTCAAGCTTGGATCAAAAATTCAACATTGAGAAAAGTAAAATTGTGTGTGTGTGTGTGTGTGTGTGTGTGTGTGTGTGTGTGTGTGTGTGTGTGTACCAAACTTATTGCACAAACGTCTAGGGCCTGGCAGGCTCTCTTCAGTGGGGAGAGTTCCGAACAGTCTCTCTCCCTTTATGCTTACATAATGGCAGCACCATGCTTAGCCTCACACAATGCAACTGCTTCAGAAGAGACAGAAAATAGGACTCACATAAACAGACCTGTTTTCTTCTGGTTTGAATACACATTTTCAGCCGCCTACTTTCTTCTGGTTTTTGGCCCTGCGCCAAAGCTGTTCACTGGCTTCAGTTGCCTGGTTTCCTGATGGGGCTCAGTATGTATGCATTTATATGCTTTATATGCAATTATTATGTTGCAAAAATAAGGATAAGCAAGTTAACTACCTCTAATCTCCCCCATTTAGTTTCTGATTCTTTCTGGCCACTTAGTGCCTTCTAGAAAACAGAACTCACGTCAGATCGTTACTTCACATAAGGTTGAACAGTCTCATAAACATCACCTATTTCGACATCGCAGTAGAAAAGATACAGGCTGGATTCTTAATATAGTCAGAGTGCGTGTGCAGAGAAGTTACATAAAAGCAACGTTGCTCCTCTTACCCAGACGTTATAAAGAACCACTGTCACTAGCAAGCCATAAAATAACAGGACTCCAGCAACCACGATCGGTGCCCAAAACAGCTTCGGAGTTGCCTGATCATGACAAAGATGTTTCTCTGAAAAACATAACAGAGTGGGTTATGATACAGCAACAGCAGCTGAGTACACGTCTGTCCTGAGAAGAAGCTGAAAGTACTAAAATGTGCAAAATATCACCAGTTTAGATGATCTCTGGTCTTGCTCTTTGGGACTTACTCAAGGCTACCACTGATGACAGCCTGGTCAGGATACAAGGCTGAGGTGGCGAGCCGTTGCCTCAGAGTGGCACACTGCTGGCATTGTGGTCACTGAATCTTGTTGAACACTGTACAATTCAAAATGGTGACTTTCGATGACTTTAACCTGACCCCATCCCCTTACCCCCATCCGAAGCTAATTTATCTGTACACTAAACTCTATCTTTGAGACAAGTAAAATGATAAATGTTTTTAAACCTTAACATGGCAGTCAGAAAACTAGCCTGGAAAAATTAAAGAGATAAATATCTAGCTCCAACTCCAACAGTTTATCTGATGCTGAATGAGTCACATTATATCTTTAGTATCAGAAAGGGGATGGAAAAAAACATGCAGTTCTATTGAAACTCATAGAAAATTATAACTAGGAAGAACACTTCACAGTCATTGAAACGTATAGACTTTGGGTCTGATTATTTTCAATGCATGACATTTTTTATTTATAAGTTCTTTATAAATTAAGTTGTAATAAAAATACATAAATAAAAAGAATACCAACAACTCTGTAGTCCATGAAGTTTTACTCCTGGCTACACACTAGAATTATCTGACAAGATTTGAAAACATTATCTAGTTCCCTTTTCTCAAGCCATATTGATTAAGTCAGAGGCTCAAAGTTGAGTGCAAGCATTTTTCTATTTACCTACATAGGTTCATAATATACAAACAGGGTTGAAAGCTCCTGAGTACAGAATCACTGTATATTTTCCAGTTCTCTTGAATGCATATATGTGTATGCACACATATAAATTACTTGCCTAAGTAATATATCATTTATATGGAAAAAAATGCTTTGTTCTTGGCTTCCAAAATAGGATATCTTTTTGACCCTTTGACTTAATCCAATCAAAATATTTTGCCTGAGCATTACTGATATTAGAAATCTGAGTTCTCACATTAATTGCCTCTGTCTTTGCCAGAACACAAAAGCTACTCTGCCATATTAAGATAACAATTCTTTCCTTGTTTGGTATTTGATTTTTCTCAAGGACCGCTTTGCTCTGCCATAAAAGAAAATGCATTTATTGTAATTGTGCTAGAATTGAATATGAAGTGGAGCATACTTTTCTTATTTATCACTCTGTGGGAAAGAAGAGTTACAATATAGGCACATACAAAAAAATCTACCTGGCCTCTCTTGGTTTTATATGTTAATGCCAATAACTGTATCCTGAGTTTGGGAATCCCATTATTTTTCTCAATAATGTTTAGACAGAACATCATCTCAACATAAACATAAACACTTATTGCTACTGATTCATGAGTACTGCTTAATCATATTGAGTTTGGGACTATTAACTTACTCAAGATCACAAATTAATGTCCCCTAAATTTCTAGTTCCTTTCTATAGCATCCTTTCTATGTTTTGGAAAATGAGGAGAAAGTTAATGGAGGAAGACCATGGACCACAAAAGAAAAAAGAGAGAATTAATTTGATATTCAACTCATTCTTCCTGAGCCCTGATCCATCGGGCTATGCTTCATCTTAGTGGACTCTATGCTCAATTTTATACGTGATCTCAGCCAAAAGGCATAAAAACAAACAGCAGACTTGCATTTTAATAGTAAACTTTTTCCTGACATGACCTATTTGACTCGAGAATAATATTATAGGCTCTGTTCCTTCCCACGGACTATAACTCCTTCCCTCTCTCTTCCACATGTCAGTGAGGAAAGGTACAGGCATTGAAAATACAAGCTGGAATTATTTCTAAAGGAAAAGGAAAACAGGCTTAGACATGATTTGTCTCTGAGTCTCAGATCACTGGTGTGTGTTCTGGCCTCACCCCTTGCCCCAACCTCAATGTCAGCATTACCAAACACAAGGACAGTCAGTCACATGTTACCTTTCACGTGAATAATAGTCCCATTGCTCTTCTCATTGTCTAGGTAAGGAGGAGGGTACAGGATCTCGATTCTGCAGAAGTAAATATCTGTTTGGTTAACGTGCAGATTCCGGAGGTAGAATGTCACTGTTTCGTTGTCCAGTTTCCCGTCACAGTCGAACCCCACGTTTGAGTGAAACTGAAGCTGGGAGGAGAAGTTCCCATGCACAAGGCAGACTTCCACATCGCTGTTGACTCCCTTATACAGGGACGCGCGGAACTCCTTTGGGAGAAGGTTATGTGAATATCTGCAGCTGAGGGCGACTTTGCTGTTATCCACCACAAGCTTGGGGGACTGCTTGACCAAAATCTTGTTTTCTGAGGGGGAAACAAAGTAGTTAGGGGTATCAGAGTAATAATTCTGTTGTCCTGAAATCAGAAGGAATGAATTAGCCAACTGAACAGATCTCTAACAAAGTTAGTCTCTTGGCAGACAAAGATACAATAATAGCTCTTCTTGGAGTGATAACATCAGCAAAAGTTTTGAAGTTTGTTTCAATAGTGTTGGCATCCTTTTTTGAATGGGAAAATAGAGCGTGTTTCCACCTGGAAGGCAAAAGGTGACCTTCTGCCAGCACGGAGCACCAGAACTATGCACTAGGAATTTTTGAATCAAATTGAGATTCCTAAGATGTTAATCAGGCCTGAGGCTGACTCTCTGATTAAGTGATATGTTTGGAAGCAGCCTGGCACTGGTGCCCACACGAATTTGCTTTCAGTTGGGTGGCAGGTTTCTATAAAGGAATTTAAAAGTTTCAAAACACTTTGGCATTGCTTGTTGACCAACCCAAGAGCGGGATAAAGAGGTGAGGAGATCTGTAGCTCCAAGTGTTGGCTTTCATTTCTCTTCCACAGCAAGTTTAGAGAACAGCCTCCCAAGAGACTTGCATGTCCACTCTCTTAAACCAAGAAGAGTTCTACCTTTATGCAATAAACAATCCAAAAGCTGGATATCGTCTGTTCAATTTCTCACTTCAAAAGCAAAGTGAAACTACATTATCAACTCCATTAGGGAGGAGACCACATTGATATCGTTTTTTTCCAGTGCATCCCCATTTCACAAAATATGCTCCCCAGAACACAAAAATAGTCCCTTTTAAAAAAAGTGATTATTACAATTTTAAGTGTGTGTGTGTGTGTGTGTGTGTGTGTGTGTGTGTGTGTGTGTACACCACAGCACACAAGCAGAAGTCAGAGGGTAACTTGCAGGAGTTAGTTCTCTCCTTTCCACCTGGGATCAGGGTTTACAACAGGTACTTACCATATGTTTAGCTCTATATTCTTTTTCTAAACAAACAAACAAGCAAACAAAGAAAATAATACAAAACAACAACAACAAAAATACAAACAAACAAGCAAACAAAAAAAAAAGGGTTCTCACTCTGTAAACCTGGCTGACTTAGAACTCACTACACAGACCAGGCTGGCCTAGAACTCACAGCTTCACCTACCTCTGCCTCCTGAGAGCTGGAATGAAAAGTGTGGGCCACCATGCCTATATATTCCTTTGTGAGGGGAGGGGGAATGTCTGAATGATGTCTAGAAACATGAATGGTTCATCTAGAGTCATTGAAGACATGGTGAATAAAACCAGAACTGAAACCAAATGCCACACCACATAAATAGCTGACCGCTTAAGCAAGGAGAATCAGCGTCACAGATCAAAGACCCTACAACCGTTTTCTGAAGCATAACCTCAATTTTTTAGAATTAAAAGAATTTCTGTTTGTCTGTGGAAGAAATTTAATATAAATAAAAACAATTCTTGCTGGGGGCATGCTAATAATTACCTAGTTATGATTTATTTTTTGGTTGTGAGCCTAGCCTTAACAGCTGAGCAATCTCTTCAGCCCCGTTTATAATTTTTAAAAAGTTATTTGTACCCCAAAGCCAGCTAGAATCAGAAGTTGTTAAAAATAAAATTTGTCATTTAAGCTGGGATTGAATTCATGTACATAGGTGGAGGGGTTGTTTGTTTGTTTGTTTGTTTGTGGTAGAAAGTAGCTACACAGCATTAAACCTCTAATTGCTTTTGTCTTCTATATAATTCTCAGTATTTCTATACATCAAGAACATTAAAAGAAAACCCATATCCATGCCTCTTGCTCCCAGAAATTCTGATATGTTTGGCATAAGTTAAGATGGGGTTAGTGTTGATATCGGATTTTGGAATAACCTTACTAAAGTATAACTCACACACTATAAAGTTCTCCTTTTAAAGAGTAATACTCTGGAAGTTGTGAGTATCCCACAACTATCTGTTTGTAAAATATTTTCATTACATGAAACAGAAACGTCATGCCCATTAGCTGTCACTTCCCATCATTCTCTATTCTCTCTCTCCCCCTCCCTCCCTCCCTCCTTCCCTCCCTCCCTCCCTCCCCCCCCTCTCTCTCCAGCCTCTGGCGACCACTCATTTACTTCTTGTCTTTACTTGCCCGCTCAGGACATGTCACATGCATGGAAACACAGTATGTGTGTCGTTTTGTATCTGGCTTCTTTCCCAGGACAATTTTCAAGTTTCATCCGTGTCATTATCAAGTATCAGAACTTTATTCTCTGGGTAGATAATAGACTATTGTGTAGATATAGTACATTTTGCATTTCCACTCAACATTGACTATTGTGAACAATGCTACTATGAACATCTGTGTGGGAGTTGAGAGGGAGGAGCCATAAGGGAAAGGTGTGGCCCCAGCATCCAGACTCCAGCGTTCATTTAGTGATCCCTGTCTGATTCAGCAGGTGACATCTTCCCAAGACTCACATATCCGAGAGAAAACTGATTTCCTAAACATGAATTCCTTGGGCAGTTCACAGTTTAGTAAGGAAGAAAATGTATAAACAGCCAGCTAATTTTGAGACAGTAGACAGTGACCTGCAGGTTCTGGGAGCAATTGAAGAACCAATCGCCGATTCCCTACACATGAAGACTGCTGGTCTGAGAGGTAAAGGATGATGCCCACATCGATGGACAAATGTTTATCAAGTAAAAAGTTAGCCTGGCTAAGACGTATCGTCCCGCTGAGGGGACGAGGTCAGTGTGCGCCTGTTGAGAGTAACAGTCAGTTGGAGAAGTGAGGAGTGGGGAGAAAAGAGGGAAAACAGCAAAGAAAATAGGAATTGAGAACGAGTGCGGCACTCTGGAGGGAATTCCAGCTCCTCCATTCTTTCTGGCCAAGGGTTAGGAGAGACAAGATCGGAAAAGCAGGCGCTGCTTACCACATCAGAGACCTTGGTCCCTCTCTTGCCAGTGATGGAGACCTAGTGAAGGCTTTTAAGCAGAAAAGTAGACATGCACAACTTTTTCATGTGTGTAGACCACTTTAACAAGAATGCAAGTGGTTCTTTGGAGTGTTCAAGAGTGAAGGCATGGAGAGGAGGCAAGATTGAGCTGTCTTCTGGGTCAGAGGTGAAATGAGAAATGTTTACAGGCTAACACTTACATAACTTGACAGTAATTTAGGTGTGGTTAAAGAGAAAAGGAAGAGTTGAAAATGACTTCCTCAGTCACACAGACCAAGGAACAAGTAGCTATTTTTCTTTGGGCCCACACCTCTTCTCCACTCATTTCTACCTCATTGCATGGCCAGAGTAGACAGATCCAAAACCAAAGCCAAGTTTGGACATGCAGGCTATAAAGAAGACAGGTTTGCATGACCCTCGGGGGTCATGACACAGGATGGAAACTTTCAGAAGGAAGAGGCCACAGTCACTCTCTGAAACGGTTTTTCTTCACAAGGAGTAATATAATAACTAGAAGGTAGCTTTTTCTCCTTCCCGTCATGGGGCCTCTGAGTTCAAGCCTCAGCGTGGTTGGGGTTGTCTGATTTCTTCTGAGCCCATTTGACCTCAGATTACAAATCTAGAACGTTCTCACCAAAAATTCAACGGCCCCTGTGTCAAGACTGTCTGTGACATGTCACTTTTCTGATGACACAAGTGGCCACTGAGCAAGAAAAGGGGAAAATACTTCATTTTGCGACTATGCCAGATTTTGTTGAGAGTTTGGAAACAGCTATGAAAAGATGGGCGATTTATCTGTTTACACGTTTACTCTTTTGTGTCAATGGATAATTTTTTAAATGAGCTGAGGCTTTAAGAGAAATACTATATTTGAGGTAATTTCTTATTTTATGCTGATAAGTGGCTAACAGCTTCCTAGCTTAGAATTCAAGCTGATAAAACCTCTTTTTTTTTTTTTAATGTTAATACCCTTTCTAGGATTTGGTCCCACCTTAATTTATTCCAACGATTCAGAAAAGTCCACATAAGAAGCTGTCTGACAGGACCAGAATCCACATCTGCTCTGGAGACACACCGAGTTTATGTCTGGGATTAGAGGAAGATTACAGTCATCCTAAATGATGTTGGCATACGGTCATCCTAAATGTGTGATCATTGTGGTACCTAGAACATACGATACTTCTAGCTTCTTTTAATTTCCCTTAAAAGGGAGCATGTGTGAGAAGACACACCCCTCACTCCACAGCAGTAGAACACAAAGACACAGATAAACCAAATCAAGTGATGGTGGTCAGCTTGGCTATGTATTGCTTTTGTTGTTGTTTTGATTGTTTGTTTTTGAGTGTCTGGGAATCTGCAGCATTTCAAATAATTTAAGGGAATACTATAAAATTTAAGGATATACGGAGGCTTAGAACAATAGTTCTCAACCTGTGGGTCTTGACCCCTGTGGGGTTGCATATCAGCTATCCTGCAGATCAGACAGATATTTACGTTACAATTCATAACAGTAGCAGAATTACAGTTATGAAGTAGGAATAAAAATAGTTTTATGGTTTGGGGTCACCACAACCTGAGGAACTGTATTCAAGGGTGACAGCATTAGAAAGATTGAGAACCACTGGCTTAGAAGAAGCTAGAGATACATTCAGCTTTCCAATACTGGTTTCTGTCTGAAGATTTGCTGTTTTCCAAATCATGCTGGGAATGACCTTTCTATTCCCTCTGCAAATACTTGATTCCATTTTCCTTCTTGGGGGTAGTTTACCTAGGTTCTACCTACTAGAAACATTGACAGCCTCCCAACTGCATTTGCCTGAAGCAGTGAAAGACCGCCTTTGCTGGGGTGTCTCTGCTAATCGGTGGGTTGTTTTGATGATGAATTTAGTGCTTTGCTTTTCAAAGCCTCTCCTAGCAGCTCAAGGTGTGGAGACAGGAAGCAGTAACCTCAAAACTCTTTCCCTCACAACTCCCGCTCAACAACGGGACCCGAAGAGCAAGAGCAGAAGATGAGAAGGCACTTATCTGCAGCCCATGGGCAAGGCTGTGAGAACCAGATTTCCCAGAGATAGTCTGTGAAACTTGTGGTAGAACCGGCTTCTGGAAGGTTGAACATTGATTGTGTTTCCAAGAGAAGGGGGTGCTTACAAAAGCAACTTTTTTCCTTCTCATCAATTCTAAGTGGGTCAATTACTATATTTAGGAACCAAGCCAACCTCTGCACAGGTGCTGTGGAGAACCATCTCTAAGGTGCAGCTCCTAACATCAAAGAACCTTGGCCTTAAAAGGTTGAGCATGCGCACACCCCTTTCAGCTAAGCTAAATTTTATATTTACAGAGTATGAAGTGTAAAGTACATTGTGGGGAAGGTATTGGCTTAGAATTCATGAGGCTGCAAAAGGATTTCAAAGAGTCCAAAGTTCGGGACGAATAAGTGACCTCTGAGACTTGAATTTGAGCCTTCCAACAGATCTTGATCTATTGTTCTTCTCCCTCGGCCACACTACGTCAAAATTCTAACACAATTTCAGTGCTTGGTTCTACATCCTCTCGAGGCTGAACTTGATGAAGAAGCCGGTACTTGGGGTTTCAAGTGAGAGCCAGTGAGACTGCATTTGAGTACTGGGTAAATTGAATGGGAGGAGGCCTGGACCAAAGCAAATATCATTTTCTCCATCATTTCAATGGAGTACTATATGCAAAAATACTTAGCTGGAAAGAACTGAAGATTATCTAAAGCCAATCCCTTATTTTATAGAAAAGGTTATTGAAAACAAAAGCAATAAATGACTTTTTTTTTTTAACAAGGTCACACAAATAACTGAAAAGCTAATGTGTAATTTATTTGTGTAGGTATAAAGACTGATGTTTTCAATCATGAATAAAGAGGGAAAAAATACAACTTTGTTCATTCAACAAGATTGAGTTGATTTTGTGTTCATATTAAAAGGAAGTATGTTTCCAACTAGTTCTTCCTTGTCTATGACTTTCCTTTCTGTAGTCTTGGTTACCCAAAGTCAACTATAGACCCAAAATATTAAATGGGAAATTTTAGATATAAACAACTTATAAATTTGAATTTGCATCATTCTGGGAAGGGTGGTGAAATCTAATGTCATTATCTCTTTGCTCAGTGGTTCTACAGTGCCTGTACTTCCACCACGCCCACCAGCTAGCCACGTAATCGCTCCCTACAGTATCAGATCAACCACTAGGCATCTCCCTGCTTTTGTTCAATCAACCATTATTTTACTTCACAACGGCCTCCGGTGTAAGGAGGGTGATTCTGGCAAGACTCCTACACTTATTAAAGAGAGGAAAACACCACATGCTGGGGATGCTGAGGTCATACGCTGAGGGAAAGTCATGCTAGTTTGGTGCTATACCTCCAACTGTAAAAGCTGTAGTCACGGTGCATGGCGGGCTTGGTGAAGGTGGGAAGATTCGTTTACAGTTTGTTTACCTGAGGTTTCCAGTGTCTCCTGAGGGTCTGGAACATGGGAACATGTTCCAAGATAACGAGGGATAACTACTCACGAAGAGTTTGCTCACAATTTGAGAGACTGTCTAAAAGTCATAGATGAGTCTCAGGCAAGACCTACAGACAGTATTATAATACAAAATGTCTCTCACAAATAATTTCCATTTCATAAGTGGTGATTATCCACGGCAGCTCTCCTATCTCAGTTTGGCCCCAGGTGCAAAAGGATGCCAGTCAGCTCATAAAGTCACTTTTCAGTTCAACTTCTAAAGGCTGAATCCTTAACTGAAAAATTACAGTTTTAATCACATCTAGTTTTATAATATTCTATCTTTTCTTTTTTACATCATAAGCATCGTAGTGAAATAAAATGGCCCACCAAGACTGGTGGGACTCAAGATTGAAGGATGCACCTGGGAAGCTAAAGAAGGTACTAGAAAGCTATAATGCATACAGTTAGAAACTGATTTTTCTTCTAGGAATTCTGATGGATTCCATTTATTCCCATCACAACGTTTCTGTTACATTTGAAGAAATGAAGTCATAGCTTCCTAATTCTGATGCTTTTTTAAAAATTCTAATTGAACAGAATATGTTGTGTTAGTAACATGTTATGTATGGAATGAAAAAGCAAAAAAATGGTTTTCTACCTTCGACCATATTGCACTCTGGTGTTTGTGAGCCAGCTGTGAAGGTGCCTTTGGCTGCCCTGGCAGAGAACACCTCTGTTCTGGCCACAGAGCCTATTAAGTTACTGTAACTTCCCCCTGGGTTGATTTCCTGTTTGGGACTAGGATGTCCTTCAACTTCTAGGCCCCTGACTACCTGCTTTGTTCCAGACTCTATCAGGCACACACAGGCTCTCTGAAGAGCCAATCCAGAATTTACTCTGGAAACTCTAAGTCGAGCTGTGGCCTCAACAGCCCCTGGATCAGTAACTCTAGCTCAAAGCTAAGCTTTATTCAAATGTCAAGAAAGAAAGCACAAATGCCCACCAGACTACAATACCATTCATCATACTCCTTGGTCTACTAAAATGGTAACACAAAACTATTAATGACCTACACTGCTTTGGATGACCCCAGACTCTGAAACTCATATTTTTTAAAAAAAAATTAATGCAAGTCAAAGTTTCAAAATAACTATGGTCATTTTCTCTCATTTCCCATTGACTATTTTCTTGAAAGCCTCCTCATTTTTGTTTCATAACAAATCATGGTATAAGTAAAGAATTTCCAAGAGAAGAAGAATTTTAACAGTGTGATATACAGGTTTGTATGTTGTCTCCTTCAGGATTCCAACAGAAAATAGATGGTCTATTCAGTTATGGGCGCCAGTAGGTGGGCTTGTTTGTAAAAGATGCACCGTTCAAGGTGTGGAGAGCAGAACCCCTTGGGAGCAGGGAACACCTGTGGCGTGGAGCGGCACAGCTGTGACCACTCTTAGATCTGAAGAGCGGGGTTCCAGAGCTAGAAGGAAACAGCAGTGTAGCAGAGGCCACTGGGACAAAGCATAGCTTCTAACCAACTAAGCTTGTCCAAGCCTGTGTATGGCGTACCTATCAACTCTATCAGGGACACTAACTCTTATCAATAGAACATAAGATTTTTAAACAAAACTTAAATATCACTCAACTCAAACAATAGCAAATGATTATAGGTGGCAATGAAAACAATAATAGAAGCCTGGTGAATGAATTTACTAAATGAGTTACTTTAGACCATCATTGATCTAAGCCATACCCCTAACTCTGACCTATGTTCTTATACAGGCAAACACAACAATGTAGAGACACTTGTCTTGGCCTCTTTAAAATTTTGTTGTCCTGAATGCAGTTGTCAGAAAGTAACTCAGAGGTCAGATAGTTTGGTACCAAAAAGCACTGAGACATAAAGCATTCATTTCTAAGATAGAACAAGTTCCAGAATAATTAATGTATATACTCTGAAACAAATTTTGATTAGTCAGAAAATTGTTCTCTGGTATACTGAATTCTTACATGACAAAATCTTTTATTCAGCAAATAAGTAATGGGTAATAGGCTCTAACGTGTTTGGTTCTTTGGAGATGGGAAGATGTAAGAGAAATCCGGTTAGGTACACAGTTGTGCTCCAAACCTATGGATGGTGCATGAACCCCATAGAGAGTCACTGACAGTCACAAGTAAAAGGCTCTGGTCACAGATGGAATGACTCTGGAGGCTTCTTTCTATACAGAACAGCCTTTAGCTGGATCATGAAGTCTACAGCAAATTTAGATAGGGTAAGATTAAGGAAATGATCTTATTGCAAGTGTCTATTAGAAGTAGCAAAGAATTTTAATTATTTAAGGAAGAAACAGGTAAGATGTCTATACCAATCATGAGGGACCTTTAATGACAAGAAAAAGCACACAGATTTTACCAGAAAGGGAAACGGAGATTCTCTACAGCTAAGTGAGAAGGGAGCCTCCTGGGGAGAGTTAGCCCAGCAGTCAGGAAGGCATTAGTTCACAGTTGGGTTAAGAACAATTCAGAGACTGTTGCCCTAACATAGACAATTCAGAGACTGCTGCCCTAACATAGACATGAGCTGGTAGGGCCTGAGCTGCAAAGTGGAAGCTGGGGTGAAAGGGATGAGCCAAGCACTGGTCTGGACTCATAGACAGTGAGCAGGAGTGGAAACTGACATGAGTTCAAGGCCGGCTAAGAGCAAGAAAAGAGGCGCCATTGACAAAATTGGTTAAGTTAATAAACAAACTCTATTTGGAGAAAAGAAACTGATGGATTGTTTCAGAAATGTTAGGCTTGAAGGGTAGATAAAGCCTCCTAGAAGGAAGATCAGGAAGGAAACAGGATAGGACCAGAGTTTAAGGAAGCTGCTTAGGGGCTGACATGTACTTAGGTCACCGGTGTTGGGGTGAGTGATCATTTTAAGATGTCTAGAAAGTCGTTGCCTCGTCCTGTATCATCCATCACCACCTCTCAGGGATGCCACTACAGAACTGAAACTCCTAAATATACAACCTCATAAGCCTGAGAACAATGTCACCTGCCATTCACGGGGCAACCATTGTCCTCTCATGCCCTGGAGCCAGGAGGACAGCACAGCAGAGCAATTTAATTACATGGAAGTGGTATCATACCAAATACCACTGAATCAGTCACAAAAGTCAAGTTGTATTATCCTAGGACCCAAAGAGTAGGTAACATTTATTCACTTTCTACACAAACATTTTGACAATAATTCAATTTTTAAATCAAAGAAAAAACACAGATATAAAGGAATTACTTACATCAATGTAATATTTTTAATCACTTTATTGTATAAATTCAGAAATGAGAAGATTACACAGATTAAGTTAGGGTGATTGCCCTAATCTGGCTACCTTCATATGTTGTTTTCTACATGTGTGTTTTAATCTAATGGCCAGATCTGGGGAGTCCTGAGCCATCATCATCATCCTGAGCTCTTATTCGAATCACCTATGTGAAGAAGACAGCAGAACATTTCTCTGCTCTGGTCTCTGTAAGTCTTATACCTTTGAAGAGTTTGCTCAAGGTCACTGTGGCATCCACAGGCTCTTCTGGGTAGGTGGAAATAATTACTGTTTTGGACCATAACTTTACACTGGAAAACAAGGTTCAGCAATGGCAATATTGCTTCCCCAAACCCTGCAGTCATGTCTCAGCACATTAGCATCTAAGGTCCTAAATAACAGATCTAAGAAATTGCAGAGATATCTGGCTTGCAATTCTCTGCATGTGCATGCGTGCATGAGTGCATGGGTGCATGAGTGTGTGGGTGCATGAGTATGTGGGTATGTGCGTGTGTGTGTGTGTGTGTGTGTGTGTGTGTGTGTGTGCGCGCGCGCACGCGCGCACGCGCGCGCGCACGTGCACGTCCTCTAAACCAATGTATTGGATGAGCAAACTGGTACCTATGTATATCATGATATGACAAACTAAAACTTCTAATCACATCTCCCTACCTTGAGAAATCCTTAGCTTTACATTTTGAGTTGAGGGTAGAATAGGAAGAGGAAGAAAGAAAGAAAAGAGAAACAAAAAACAAAAAAGGCTTGATCTTCCCAAAGTCTAGATCAAGCAGCCATGCCCTTATTCAAAACAGAGAGAGAGAGAGAGAGAGAGAGAGAGAGAGAGAGAGAGAGAGAGAGAGAGAGAGA